GTCTTTCCCAATATATTGTAAGTCTGTAGAGAGGGAGGAGCATATTTTTCTCTTTCTCAAAACCTAGGCCAAGATTCTGCAGATAGTGAGAACTCAATGATATTCGTAGAATCAAAATGAACAGAGTTCTGCCAAGCTTACATTTGCTAGAAGAGGGATATGCTCATTTATATGTTGCATCTGAACTCAGATGCAACATAAAAGTATTTTTTGTTTTATTTTTTTAAATATATTTTTTATTTTATTTTGTTTTTTTAAAATATATTTTTATTGATTTCAGAGACGAAGGGAGAGGAAGAGAGAGATACAAACATCAATGATGAGAGGGAATCATTGATTGGCTGCCTCCTGCATGTTGGACCGAGCCCGCAACCCAGACATGTGCCCTTGACGGGAATCAAACCTGGGACCCTTTGGTCCACAGGCCGACGCTCTATCCACTGAGTAAAAACCAGCCAGGCATAAAAATATTTTTTAAAGGCAAAACTGAGTGGAGAGGCCAGTAGCATCCTGACCGCTCCCACCTGCGGTGTACAGGTTGGAAGCTGTTTACTTGGGGTACTGAGGTCAGGATGGCAGCTCAAATTGCCCAGTGCTAGTGCCAGCAGTATGGTTGGTTCCAGGACGCTGTGGGAAGGCATACTGCTGATTCTTTTTTTAAATTATTTATTTATTTATTTATTTATTTATTTATTTATTTATTGTCTAAAGTTTTAGATAAGTCTCCTTTCTCCCCGATTGACCCCCTCCCCTCAGCCATTCCCACGCCAGGCAAGCCCCCACCACCCCAGTGTCTGTGTCCATTGGTTATGCTAATAGGCATGCATACAAGTCCTTTGGTTGCTCTCTAACCCACCACCTCCCCTGCCATTTGTCTCTGGATCTATTTTTGTTCATCAAATTATGTTGATCATTATACCTCACATGTGAGTGAGGTCATGTGATATTTATCTTTCTCCGACTGGCTTATTTTGCTTAGCATAATGCTCTCCATGCTGTTGCAAATGGTAAACGTTCCTTCTTTTTTATAGCAGCGTAGTATTTCATCGTGTAGATGTACCACAGTTTTTTAATCCACTCATCTGCTGATGGGCACTTAGGTTGATTCCAAATCTTAGCTATTGTAAATTGTGCTTCGATGAACATATATACTGCTGATTCTTAAATACTTTCCCAATCCATTTGCCCATGATTCCACTTAAGCATATCCCTCAAGACAGTTAGAAGTTTGAAATTATATGTGTCCACATATTTTTACATACTAGTATACATGTACACACTCATAACATATGTACCCTGTTGCTGTCTGTTTCCTCAGAGTAGCCTCCAAATTCTACCTTAAGAACTTCTGCCCAGGATATCCCATTTCATTCTAGTTTCCTGAAGACCTTGTGCTTAGGGACAATAGGGGTGTGTGGATATTCATATGTTATTTGTTCACATATGTCTGAAAGCTCAGAAGCACAGGTCAGTACAGTTCTAGAGAAAAATCTTCCTAATGATTATAAAAAACTTTTATTCTTCTTATGAAAATTAAAATAACATGGAAGGAAAAGGGCAGATCCAGAGAATTAAATAAAGAGTTTTCAAATAAGTGATTCTTATTAGGGTATGAGCCATGATACAGGGACAGATAAGTTTTTTAGTGTTACAGTTATTTGGACAGGTTTGCTGTAGTATGATTTTGCAGCACTTAATTCTGAGCTCTGCTCATTATTTGTTAGACATTAACACATGCCCATCTCCTACCATACCAAGTAAACGTTTAAGAGATAATTCCATTAATAGTGAAGAGGATTTACAGATTTACTAGTAATCGGTACTTTCTGCAAAGATACATACCACACTAAGCAGGAAAATTGTCTCTTTTGGGGGGAAACAATGTTATCTAGTGGTAGAAATTCATTCTTAGGGAATTCTCTTTTTGAAATTGTGATTTTAAGAAAAACATCCTTTTGCTCCTTAATGTTCTTTTTTTTAAAAAAACACATACCTTACTTTATTTTTTAATTTTTAATCTTTTAAATTGATTTCAGAGAGGAAGGGAGAGGGAGAGAGAGATAGAAACATCAATAATGAGAGAAAATCATTGATCCGCTGCCTCCTGCATGCCCGCCACTGGGGATCGATCCTGTAACCCAGGCATGTGCCCTTGGCTGGAATCGAACCTGGGACTCTTCAATTTGCAGGCCAACGTTCTATCCACAGAGCCAAACCAGCTAGGGCCTTAATGTTCTTTTGTTCCTTCTTTAGTATACTAATTTTTTTCTCTAGCAATTTTTGTAGGAAGCAGTTTATAATTTTTCTTGTATTACTATATGAGATATAACCTTTATATCAGAGAAAAACATTCAATGGTTAATAGCAATAGACATAAAAATTTGTTAAAGTATTCTGCTTTTTAAAAACATTATCTCCAGAAACAAACAAACAAACAAAACATAAAGAGTCATTTGTCTTGGTAAAGGGCAGTTGTTTAGGTTGGAGAAAATTGCACAGATCAGGTAATTATTATCAAGGTTCTTAGGGTTTCTCTTGAAAAATCTGAAAACAATTTTGATATAACATCAATAAGATAAAGTGAGCAATGGCTCTAAAACTTGCTTAGGTTTTATATTCCTTATCGATAAACTCTTTCCTTGTCAAGAAAGGATTATGGATTGAGGAGATTGTCTTACCTTGATATCATAAGCAGCCTCGGTGGCCCCTTCTTTTTCTGTGGTTTGGTAAATTTTTGCATTATATGCCTCAGCCCTCTGCAGGGGCAGAAATTGCTTCCACATGGATGGCCTGCGGAAATGTTTCTGGAGGCATTCTTGGTTATCTTGGGAAAGCTTGGTCATGGTTTTACAATAAAGGCTCCAAATGAGTCCTGTAGCCTGATTTCAACAACACCAGCCAAGGTCCCCTCTATTTCTCTTCATTTGGCTAATGCTGAGCTCTCTCTCAGTCCCCTGGGGACTGCCCCGGAAAGTTACACAAATCCAAGCAAAAGGATTATCTGTTTTATGGATCAGCAGCTTATCCACTGATCTGTAGTGTTCTATTTCAGGTAGGGCCTCCTATTTTGAATGTCTAGGTATGTTAGCACTGCCCTCTACAGGTAGTAATGTATTATTAATTAAAATTTAATCCTAAATAAAAAACTGAAATGATCCAAGTGATATATAGCTTAGTATATAACGATAAAGGAAATAGATTGCTTGGCAGAATTCTGTACTAGGAGTGTGTGGTAAGGAATAGTACTTGGCAATCTTGGGCTATGCGATTGAGGGGCGGATGGTCCCCCTAATCTATTTAGGTTTCTTAAAACATCATTTTAGTACCAGTTAGGTTTGTGGCTAGAAATGTATGCTAAACTCATACCCAAACTTAAGGCCAGGAATTATCACTCTTTATATTTGTCATGTAGAATTAGTTAAAATGAATTTCATATGAGGTAAGCAGTCATCTAATGATTTAAGGTAAAATTTGGCTTGTAACATCATATTTTGTATTTGTACTCAATGGGCAAAAGCATTTCACTTAAAAACAGGAACAAGACAGGGATGTCCACTTTCACCACTCTTATTCAACATAGTACTGGAAGTTCTAGCCATAGTGATCAGACAAGAAGAAAAAATAAAAGGCATCCAAATTGGAAAGGAGGAAGTGTAACTGTTATTATTTGCAGATGATATGATCTTGTACATAGAAAACCCTAAAGGCTCCACCAAAAAACTACTAGATTTAATAAATAAATTCAGCAAAGTAGCAGGATAAAAATTAACATCCAGCAATTGATGGATGACATTTTTATACACCAATAATGAACTCTCAGAAAGAGAAACTAAAAATCCCATTTATCATTACAACAACAACAAAAAAGATACCTTGCAATAAATTTAACTAAGGAGATAAAAGACCTGTACTCTACAGGCCATAGAAAAAAGAAATAGAGGCAGATATAGACAAATAGAAGAATTTGTTCATGGGTTGGAAAAATTAACACCATTAAAATGTCCATACTACCCAAAGCAATCTATAGATTCAACTCAATCCCTATTAAAATACCAATGGCATATTTCAGACTTAAAATACTCTGAAAAGAAAGCATAGGTTGCAAAACCTCAGACATCTCTCATAGCAATATGTTTGCTGAAACATCTCCTAGGGCAAGGGAAACAAAGGAAAAAAATAAACAAATGTGGCTACATCAAAATAAAAAGCTTCTGCACAGCAGAAGAAACTGCCAACAAAATGAAAAGGGAGCCCACTGTATGGGAGAACATATTTGCCAATGATACAACAGATAAAGGATTACTTTCCAAAATATATAAAGAACTCATACATATAACAAAAGGAAGACAAACAATTATCATCATCATTATTTTTTATTTTTAAAAAACATATTTTATTGATTTTTTACAGAGAGGAAGGGAGAGAGATAGAGAGAGTTAGAAACATCGATGAGAGAGAAACATCGATCAGCTGCCTCCTGCACAGCTCCTACTGGGGATGTGCCCGCAACCCAGGTACATGCCCTTGACCGGAATCGAACCTGGGACCTTTCAGTCTGCAGGCCGACGCTCTATCCACTGAGCCAAACCGGTTTAGGCTATCATCATTATTTTTTAAAGAATAGTTTATTGATTTTTAAAAATATATATTTTATTGATTTTTTACAGAGAGGAAGTGAGAGGGATAGAGAGTTAGAAACATTGATGAGAGAGAATCATCCATCAGCTGCCTCCTGCACACCCCCTACTGGGGATGTGCCTGCAACCAAGGTACATGCCCTTGACCGGAATCGAACCCCGGGACTCTTCAGTCCCCAGGCCGACACTTTATCCAGTGAGCCAAACTGGCTAGGGCAGTTTATTGATTTTTAAAGAGAGAAGAAGGGAGAGGGAGAGAGAAATATTAATGTGAGAGCGCAACATCCACTGGCTGCCTCCTGCACGCCCCCTACCAGGTATCCACAAAAAGGGCGTGTGCCTTTGACTGGATATCAAGCTGGCAACCTCCCAATGCACGAGAGGACGCCCAACCAACTAAGCCACACTGGCCAGGGCAACACGCATTATTTTTTTTAGTATAATTGCAAATATTGCATGGAACATACATTGTTGGCTACTAGTAAACCTGCAACCCCAGGGCAAGATAACTTTTATGACCCACGTCTCAGCATCAGTTTCATATACAATATCCCGATAAGAACGCCTGCTTCATTGACCTGTTAAATCCAAATGAAAGTCAATCTATTTAAAGCACTGAATTATAAACTTTTGAAAAGAATGACGGTTAAGATAAACGAGTTTTGCCACCAGGGGTCACAGTTCCATTCCAGGTCAAGGCACTGCCTGGGTTTCAGGCTTGGTCCTGGGTGTGGGGAGTGCAGAAGGCAGCCAATCAATGATTCTCATCATTGATGTTTCCGTCTCTCTCTTCCTTTCCCTTCCTCTCTAAAATCAATTAAAAATATATATATTGAAAAAAAGATAAGCGAGTTTTGGCCTGGTTCTCGGGCTCCAGCGGGTACCCTGGCACCGGAGCGGCCTGCTGGGTTTCGGGTCCCCCACACGCCCTCCCTCGGGACAGGCCAGTCCGGGCTGGCGGCAGGGGTGGCGGTGGGGCTGGGGGGTGGGGGTAGCCTGTTTTAGACCCTTTGAGTCCAGCAACCTGAACGCAGCAAGTGCCTCCTAGGCGCCCGCCCCTCGGCGGCTGTTTTGGACCCTCCCGGCTTCCGCCTTCCGGGTGGTCACATGCCTCTGCTCACGTGACCGACACTCCTGTCATTCGACTGCCGCCCGGCTGCCTTCTGCCTGCGCTGCGCTCAACGTCTCCGCGGCGGTGGAACCTCTTCACTCCCCGGCGCCCGAGTCTCCCGCCGTCGCTCAGGCCTCCGGACCCGCCGGAGAGGTTCCGATTCGGCGCCCTAGCTCGGCAGGGCCCCGACACCCCGACCGCCGCCGCCTCCCAGCCGCCCTCGGGTGCGTTGTGGGCTCCCCAGGGTTCGCGCAGTAAGGCCGCACTCCGCTTGTTTCGGGGGACACCTGCCCAAGCGAGGCGACCCCGCGGCTTCCCCAGAGCCCCCGGGGCGCGCCGCTGTCCCGCCGCCCAGGCCCTCCGCCCCCTCCGGTAACGGGGCCCCGGGGTCCCGAGGTCCCGAGGTCCCGGCTTCTTTCCTTTCGGGCCTGCGCCGGGTTTAGGAACCTGCAGAGCCTTCCCCGCGGGGGCCGGGAACCCGAGGGGCGGGCAGGGGAGGGGAGGAGGACGGATGAGAGGTATGTGCTCCCCGGGATGGGCCGCCGCCGTGCCCCGCTGGAGGTCCGAGTTGTCCGGGGGCTTAGATGGCCGCGCGGAGGCACCTGCAGCCTCCCCTGGACTGGCCGCCGGGCCGGGGCCGCCTGGTCCCGGGCCGCAGGTTGGGCCGGAAGGAGCCAGTTTGTGCCCGGGCCCGGCCAGGCCACCCCGCTCTTGCTTGTTTAGGCAGCAGCTCTCAGATGTAGAGATTAAGTTCCAGGCTGACTGAGGGCATCGGGGTCCTTGTAGCTTCTCTGTATGTAAGCGCGAGCTAACGTTTTATGAAAAGGAACCTCAGTGTTTTGTGTCGTGATAAAATCGGGCTTAAACCTTTATCTGTTCGTCTGGGTGTGAGAATTACTTAAAAGGCTCATGATTGTAGGTTCTTGTCGTCAGACTAGACTCCCGTTGTTGGCTGTGCCTAAGATGTAATTGGTATTTGTTCCAAAAATGTCTCCTAAAGTTGATTTTGAAAATACGAGGAACTTCGGTTGAAAAAAATCAAGCACTATCGTCTAAGAAATTGCATTCCCACGTTGGTTATTTTAGTTCGAGTGAGAATTTAAGAAAGGACTTACAGGGTTTTCATATGTCATTGCAAAAAAATGATGCTTAGTAAATGTAAATAAAATAATTGATCCTAGCTGTACTTTGCAGGTTCTTATTTTTTTTTTCTGTCAGAGGAGGAAAGTTGATCCCAATTATATACAATTAAAATACTTTCCTATTTTGTATGCCTATTCTATTTAAGCATGATTTCTGATGTCAATTTCTTGAATGGTTACATTACAAATCTGACCGCAACATTGTGCCAATAATTAAGAAAAACCTTTCCTGGAAAAGTACAGACCTATAGAGAACGCTTTTATGGAGTAGCTTATAATTGGTGGACAAGATTTGAAGTATAATAATATTAACATTAATGATATGTAGTATATGTGTTGAATGCCTGGAGAGGTGAAGGTGATAATGATGATATCATTATTAATAATTGTAGTAGTTGTTAAAAAAATAATAACACCTGGTATTCTGGTTTTACCTTACATCAGAATTGAAGATCTGTTGGAAAACTTCCAAGATCATAAAATTTAGATGACCAAAATGGATATCCGTGGTGCCGTGGATGCTGCTGTTCCAACCAACATTATCGCTGCCAAGGCTGCAGAAGTTCGCGCGAACAAAGTGAACTGGCAGTCCTATCTTCAGTAAGTACGGACTTGCTGTGAATCATGGGTAATCATGTGCTTTTGCATCAGACTTTTTCATGATCATGCTTCTGTGAGAGAAATATTGGAAAAATACTAATAAATGTGGAAGAAAACACTTCCTCCTTAGAGCTTGCGGCTCTAGTGCGGAGCAGAGCGGCTCAGGGCACTTTTGACCTCTGGAAAGTTGTGCTTTTTCAGTGAGCGAGAAACCATGGGATGAGCATTAATGGACTATGGATTGAGGAAGAGGATAAGGTGCAGAGCCTGCTGCGGGCTCAGGGTGCCTTGGTGATCAGTGTGGGGACAGATGGTGTTGCAGAATAGCGCATACAGCTAGTAAAAAGCGTAGA